TTTTAATCACTAAAATTATAAACGCGGACATGGCATGCTCCTTCCTGACTATATATGTTCTAAGGTTCCAGCAGAGAAAAGTCCCAAACAAATTGAACTTGTTTGGTGTTTCCGCAAGATTAAAAACTTGTTCATAACATGTTTGTTATTAGTTCTAAAAGTTCCTACAGTGTCAACATGCATAATTACTGTGAATTCTGCGAATAAAAGTGAAAAATGGATAATACAAATGTTGCTGTGTTAAACGAAGGGCCAGACTGATTGGCTTGATCCCTGGATGTAACAGCCGCTAACAAAGATGTAAGTTTAAGCTTTCACTATTTTTCACCAGCTGGGAAACGTTTTGTTAGTGTTGCAAATCACTTTGGAAAATTAAAAAAAAATGATATGTTAGTGGCTTGGATGAAAGCATTAAAAATAAAAGATATTACACAGAATATAAAAGTATGTTCACTCCATTTCAAAGTAGATGACTATATATTACCACGTAATGTATGTTGCAGACAACCTAAAAAAACACGTGGTCTCTACTATATAACGTTAATTAAAAATAATTTTATATAATATCATTATCTATTTCTGCTTTAATTTTTTTGATGGGGCTTTTCTTTAATGTGGGACGTCTGCAAGCAGTACGCCGTGATGTTGACGGTTCCACGGTCACTTTTAACTAGATTTTTACCACATTTTAAAATATGCCCGGCCCTTAAAACTCTTTCCCCTTCAATAAAGTGCTTATTATCTGATTTTGTTTCAGCCCACGAGCAAATTTCACGGATACTTATCATTTTATATTAATTTAACTTTTCACTTTATGTTTAATCCTATCTCTTTGTAAAAATTGCCACGTTATATCCGCAATGTTTTGTTGGCTCCTCCCATCGGACAGATCCCATTTCCCGAAAATATAATATATTTATGTATTTGTACAGATTGTGTATGCATAATGCATTCAAGATTGCAGTCTTTGCATACGGGAATGGGCGTGCAACTGAATTAATAAAAAAAGTCTAGGTACATAAATAACTAGTTCAGGATGAATTACATTCATGCTTTATTCACACTTGGAAGTGGCAATGGACTTTTGTGCTATAAACCAAAATGAAATAGGAACTCCAGTGGGTTGCAAGGCCGTAGCCAGAAAATAATTTCGGGGGGGGGGGGGGGGTTGATTTGGTGAAATAGTAGAAAAACATAAAATCGTTTTAATAAAAGAAATAAAATGGTGTTACTTATCATATATATTTATTAAAAAATCATTACAGAAATATTAACACCTTATTACAAAATTAAATTTAGTCTTCTAGCTTTCTTTGCGGAGAACAAATCAATTACCTTCTCGGTGTCGATGTCAATTTTGCGGTGGATTGACATTAACGCCAAACCGTTTAGTTTTTCCTGGCCTGTGGAGTTTCTCAAATAAGTTTTGAGGCATTTCATAGAAGAGAAAGTCCTCTCAGGAGTACATGTAGAAACAGGCAGTGTCGCCAAGATCTTTAAATAGCACATGTTGGTCGATCTAATTCAGATTCTTCCACCCATTTTATCCGCCACATGTTTAATTTAGCTTTTACAAAATCCAATTCCCAATATTTTTTATAGAGCTCAAAGTAGTTTTCTTGATAATTTTGATTATTTGTTCTTTGCAACACACAGACGGAATTAAAATATTGAGAGATGATAATGTGGCTTTATGATATTGGAATTTCGACTAAAGCTGATCAATGAAATCATCCAAAAGTGGAATCATTATAGTAATTATTCTAAAATAAATTTCAGGATCTTTTGTGTTGTAGTTTGCCCTATGCTCTTGGCGTGACGTTATTCGCGGAATTTTCATTTCCTCGTTTACAGTACTGAGCAAATTCTGTGCATTCTTGAAAAGTTCAGCAAATTTTGAATCAATATTTTGGCGAACATCTTCAATAGTCTATAATTAAATCGACATGTTGTAAAGCTGCTGCTAAATCGCATAGGGGCGATTGAAGTATTTTGCTTAGTATCAGTGTGTACGGGAACAACATTCCTAAGCAACATAAGTTTATAACAAAATCACTTGAAATGACTGGTCTCAGAAAAGAATTAGCATTTGACGATGTTTCAGAATCCATGTCAGTGCTTAAGTCGTCTAGTGTATCAACAATAGTTTTATACATTTTTTAACCACCCATCATGATTTTCTATTCAGCGGGTCTCGCACATTGCCGCAAGGTTTTTCCATTGTATTTCAGGGAAGTTTTTTTCGATATTATCTTTTAAACACTTGGTTCGTTTTGCCAAGGACTTAATAAAATTTCCAACCGATTTTATAATTCCAATAGTATTTCGAATAGGCTGAACCTGGCAAGAATTACCCAGAGCTAAATTAAATGAATGTGAGCTACAATGAACGTATAAGGCTTCTGGATGTGACTAACTAATTACTGCCTGCACACCTTTAAAACTTCCTTTCATCGAAGAAGCTCCACCATGGGTCCGATTAAATATTCGCAATCTACTCCCAAAGATTTTAATTCAGATACAATTGCATTAGCTAAATATCTTCCTTTTGTATTCTCAAGTGTTACAAAAGTTAAAAAATCTTCACGCAAGAAAAACCTATTATCTTTTGGCTCAGCATATCTTAGACAAATGGACATCTGTTCTTGTCAGTAGTTTTGTCAACAACAATTGAAAAAATTTTTACAGAATTTAATCATTGCACAATTTTTTTCTGGATTATTTCACCACAAATTACAATAAGTTCATTTTGTATGGTCAGACTTAGGTAGGTAGCGTTCAACGTCATATTTTCTGTGTGCTTTATTAGATTTGAGTCTCCACATCTGCTTCTCATCCGTAAGATAGCACGAAAGTTTCCATCATTTGTTTTTGGCTCAGCATCATTAATTTTTATTGGACCTGAGTCGAACGTACCTCTCAGCGCCAATTCTTGATGTCCACATAATTTAATTGTTTCAATAATCGGAATGAGTCGTTTCCGATTTTCAGCTATTTGCGCTAGGTATCCGCTATCAATCTGACTTATTATATTTGGTTGAGATTTATTATACACCTTCATAAAATTATCAGCCAATAATACAGAAGATTTGTGGTACTGGCTTTCACTGTGATGTTTGAAATCATGTACAGCATCTTTCCATTTAGTAAGCGGCTGAGTAACTAAGGATTTCAACTGCTGATGAGAGCCTTTACCTGCGCAATCTCTGGCAAATAATACACAATATTTGCATAAAGCATCTTGTTGCCCCGTACTCGTGTAAACCAACCACGAGAACCATTCAAACCATTGCATTTAAAATTTTAGCTTTCTTTTATCGTCACTTACTGGAAAATTGAATGTCTTTTCTGGCATCCAAGGAGATTTCAACAATCTGTACTTTAAATCATCATCAATTTTGAGGTTTGATCCCGCATAATAGCCCACATCTAAAACATGCTGAGAAACATCATCCACAGTCCCAGGAACGGCAGTAGAAGTACCAGAAACTATTTGTAGCAGTATCACTATCGAAAACACATGAACACTGATTTTCAGTAGAACTTTCACTACCAGTACCAGGTTTAGATTTTTTAAATAAATATTTGAATACTCTATTTTCTTGCGTCCTTTTTGCCATTTCAAATGTTGAACCGACCTGTAACAATTAAAAAAACAGCCAAGTATTAATTCCATTTGTACACAAATAATTACTTCGATAAAGATTTAAAAGAAAATGAATACAAGTAGGTAGTCCTACTCTTAGGCATCAAATCCTTTTAATTTTTATTTAAATTACAAAAATTATAACACCACTTACTTCATTACTAATTCACAGCACTATTATTTCATAGACTGTACTATTACTTCGCTTATATCGCCTTAGTCGCATCGCATTGGATCACTTTCCAAGATAGAACTGCCTGTCCGTGCTCGACGGCTCGCTTATATATTCCGCAGACGCGGCGCGCGGCGCAACGAAACATCCAGAACAACCCGTCTCATTCTATGCTTATTGAATATTCCCGAAATGCAGTTCGAACACGTCCCCGAAGTTGCGTTGCTTGTGTAGTTGGCGTAGCATACCATTCATATCAGAAATCTTTTATAGCTTGTTTGCCTTTTATTAATGCACCATCGAGTAACTCCGACACTATTTTTACTGCTTTAGTAACAGCCTCTGAGAAAAGTACGTCATTAAATCAGAAAACATGTTTCAACACTTTTGATCAGCCATTGTATTTTAAAGCAAAACAAATTGTCTCTACGAGTGGCATGGAAGCAAAATTGGGAAATGTCGTTATACGATTAGGTGGCTTTCATTTATTGATGTCGTTTATGGAAGCCATCGGGTATATTATAAATGGTAGTGAATTAACCGAGCTTCTAAGTAAGTACAATTTTTGCACCGAACTCACTTGAAAAGTTGTTAACAGGTCATGCATACTCTCGTGCGTGCAGAGCACATGTGTTAGTCCATCTCGCACTAACAAAATTGATCATGCAGGAAATTGATTTATCACCAGACCAACACGCAGGACTAGAAGCAATTCTATGCGATTTCGACAAGTCGGTAATACTTGGAGCAGACCAAGAAGAATGCGTCAAAGAATTAGCTTCAAAATTTAAAAATCATATATTAAAACTTGAGCAATGTGGTCCAACTGCTAAATTATGGGTTTCTTACTTTCGCGTGGTACCAGTTTATTGAGGCCGAAAGAAGCGAAAACTGGGACGTTCATCTTAATATTATCCAGCAAATTTTTTCCTATTTTCATTCCAGTGGTCATTTTTTATACGGTAAATGTGGCCATTTATATTTACAGGATATGTATAGTTTAAAAGAAAATATGAATCCTACAGAATGCAGGTCTTTTACACATGAAGGGCGCTTCACAATTAGACGTTCTGAGAGATTTTAGTGGGACATATGGTCAGACATGGTGATTGAGCAATCATTAATGCGAACGATGAAAACCGTGGGCGGGGAGTCCAGAAGAGCGTACTTTCTAGGTGGACTATGGGAATGTCATTCTTGCACAATATTTCTGACGCGGTTGAAAATTTTTGCAGTATAGATTTTAGCACTTCGGAACAGCATGTTGAATTGAGAAGTTTCCGGATTAATCGTGATAACAAAGAGGTAAAAAAATTAATCGATTGGTTTTCCCAACATTCGCCCTTTCCTGCAATGAAAGAACTTATATCAATAAATATTGGAGTCATTGGTGATGAAAGCATTAACTGTCACATATCTCAAGAATTTGACACTAAGGATGTCTTAAGAATCATCGATCTTGAGTTTCATTCTATAAAATTTGCCATTATGAATACAGGAATACGAATAGAAAATGAATTAGTCCCTGTAAAACCATTTTTGATTTTTAAAAGAATGTGTATTCCTAAAAAATTTGATAAAGAACTCGAACAATACCTTTCGTACGAGTTTACTCAATTTCCATTATCACTTTTCAACGAAGGATATATGCGCAAAAGCGTAAAGTTTTCCTTTTACGAAGCTTTTCAAGAATATGCTACCGATGTTGATTTTAAAAACCTTATACATATCATAGATGGAGGATATTTATTGCATCGTGTTGTCTGGAATCGCAGAGACTCATTTACATCTATCTGCACCAGTTATGTTTCTTTCGTTCAATCACATTATGGAACTAATGCCAACGTCATATTTGATGGATATCCTGATGTTGAAGATCAGGGCACAAAATACATGGAGAGGTCACGACGATCACGATTGCATGCTTCATCAGAAATGTTGTTTGACGAGGCGATGATTCCGACCGTATCACAAGAACAGTTTTTGAGTAACGATAAAAATAAAAATCGCTTGATTGCATTATTAAAGAAAAAATTGAAGCTATTAATATGATGGTTTACCATCATATTAATAGCTTCGTAGTAACTAGTTTAGTTACTACGAGAGCTAATATCTCAAAAGTGTGTTTGCATTACTGGTGCAATGAGAACCTGTCCTACGGCCGCAATGGAGGTGATCTTAAACCTCACCCCTCTACATTTGATGATAGAGAATGTGGCAAAAAGGACACGATATAGAATGATCAGGAACGGAGTAATCAGACGAAAGTCTACTTGCTTCAGGACTAAAGATACCTGGGACATGCCCCAGGATGAAATGCAAAAGAAATAGTTTTGTGAAAAACTTCAAAAGCACAGAGCTGGGCTGCAAGAAAGAATGGAGCCAAGAATCCATCGCGCTTGCAACCGAAAGACGTGCTATTCAGTGGTATACGGACGGTTCCAAAACCATAAAAGGAACTGGAATAGGAGTGTATGGGCCGAGAACCAAGCACTCCGAAAGCTTGGGAAAATACCCAAGCATCTTCCAGGCGGAAATTCACGCCATCGAGAAGTGTATTCAGTTTAATATCGAGAGAAACTATCATAGACAAGAGATTATCATCATGGCCGATAGTCAAGCAGTCATCAAAGCGCTGAGTTCTTACGTAATCAGCTCAAAAATGGTCTGGAGATGCCTAGAACAATTGAATGAGCTAGGCGAGAAAAATAGAGTTACTCTCACTTGGGTCCCGGGACATAACGGGGTACAGGATAACGAGATTGCAGATAGTCTTGCAAGGAAAGGGGCTCAAACACCCTTTGTAGGACCTGAGCCGTTCTGCGGTATCAGCAGTAACATAATATTAGGAGAGATTAAAAAAGAATGGGGTAGTAGAAGAACCGATAATTGGAACAATCTCTTGGGGATGAGATAGGCCAAGATACTTCTGGGTGAATATAACCAGAAAAGATCGGAAGCTTGCATCTGCCTAAGCAAGAACAGGCTACGTATTGTAACAGGGATCCTTACCGGGCATTGCCGACTAAAAGGACACCTAAGTAAACTGAGAGTAGTAGAGGATAGTGAGTGCAGATTCTGTGAGGAGGAGGACGAAACCTCCATTCACATCCTAACTAAATGTGTAGCACTCCAGAATCCAAGGGCACTATATCTAGGAGGATATCAAATAGAAGAGGGAGATTTACCTAACTTGAAGCCACTTCAAATCCTACACTTCCTTGAGAAAAAGGGTCGCTATAGGCATTGAGACATTTCCTTAGTGCAGTGGCGACAGAAGGGGGCACAATAGATCTTTTAGATCGCAGTGTATTAACACCCCATTCTCAACATAACATAACATGACCTTCTTTAGTCTTTTATCCAAAATGGACAAAATATATAGACAAAATGATTAGACCCAAATTTATAGAGAAAATTATACACTTTAATTTATTATAGAGCGATTTTTGCTGTAAAATCAACGAGTAACAAGATATCTGCAAAATAACTCTTTTTTCATAATTTATTACAATATGACGGCGACAGCGGCAAAGTTACGAGGTGGCAAAATAAAAAATCGAAAAGAGCAGTTAAACATATATAAAATCGCAAAATATCAAAACTTCCGCAAATTTTTCCAGCTAAAGGCAATATACAGCACGTAATTACTGGAGTATAACCTATAGGATATTTCCATATCAATAGATATTTTGTATCTAACATGTTTTACACCTTAAAATAGGTTTAATTTGAAACTATTTATTAATAATTTCAGGAAACATGTATAAATATATAACTTAGAAAGCCATTGATTGCTCTTATCTTTAATAAAATATATCCGGTTAAAATTTACAAATAAAAAAATCAAATTAACAAAATATTTACATTATCTGAGATATATCATTAGTTGGCACATCGGCATCATCATTACCGATTTTGTTTTGCAGTCAAGATCCTGTTGACACTTTATAACCTTTGATTTTTTCTGTAAGTAAATAAATGATTCAGCCAAGGTCGATTATGATACGACTGTTTCTTAATCTAATACTGGTAATTTATAATTTATAATTTTTCGGAAATCAGCTCATTATCTACCACGGTATCTGGCACGGTCAGCCGCTACGGTCAAATGTTTTTAAGTTGAGAAATTGATTCTGAAAATTTAGCTGCATTGTCAGAAGACGAGGATGATGATATTTTAAGGTTAATACTATCCATACGAAAGGAAACTGACGAATTGAAAAACTAGTAAAAAAATATAAGAAAAAAAAAGTCTGTAGATTCCAGTTACCCGTATACCAAATATTACTAAATTAATCTCTGATCTTATGACATAAAACTTGATTGAACTCATTAAGGTACTCAGGTCAATTTAATCTAAGCTGTTCATCCGATTACCAATTGATTTTGATTAGTCGGGATCATGTTAGGACCATAAATTTATATCGTTAACCAGGGGTACTATTAGGGAATCAGATATTTGTGCTATTACACAACGAACGACGTAAAAAAATTTTCATAAATAAAGAAAATAATATGAAAATTAAAACAATACGAAATACATGTGCAGCTTGAATTTATAAAAATGCTGCAATTTGTTTTGCATTAAAACCTAATATTTAATGTTCCGTGCTAGTTTCTAGTAGACCAGATAACACTATCATTATTTCTGAATTATGTCAGTCATTTCCTTAAATAACATCAAAAATATATGTGGAAAGCGCGATTGAGGTTGATAGGCCAACCAGTTTTTATTAAAAAAACGTATATAGGGTGTCACCAAACGGTTGGGATATAGATCGACTATAAATATATAGACTCCTAATAACTAAGACGATTTAACTCAACTTACTTATATCCAAAATGGTCTGGTTAAGTCAGTATATGGCATGAATTTTTTTTTAAAAAATAATTTTGAACATCAAAAGAGTAGGCTATAGTTGATTTTTATCATTTTGGCATGGCTTGTTCTGTGACTATAATTCACGTTTCGGCATGTTTAGGTCTTCATCAGCTAGTTGTAACTGTATTAAACATAAATCTTGGTATCTAATAACTTTTTAGAGCCTACGTTGAAAACATATTTTCTTTAGTTTTTGTATCTTTGTAATTTTTGATAACTCTTCAAGGTTTATCTACAAAAAAAAAAACAAATTTAATGACATGCATTTTTGATAGGAATAATCTAGTTGGCCGTAATACGATCTAAAGTGGAAAACTGACACAGATTTAAAAAAGTAATGGACTGGTGTTCCCATAAAAAATTAACTATAAACTACAATAAATCTTTCTTTCTGCCATTTGTAAGTTACTCTAATAATCTACCTCAATTTGCTGACATTACTTTAACATGATAAAAATAAAACAACATTGCAAAAATTAAAACAAATCACCTAGACGTAGAAAAGCTCTAAAGACAGATTTAGGCCACTAGTGGCGTGACCATATTGATTCAACAGTGACTCGGCACGACTGAAACTCTTGAAACAGTAAATGAAACCTATTAGACTGCAGTAACTGGTGTGAGGCCACCAAAAATAAGTATTAGACTAAACCACCAGTTGCACCATCAGCGCTTATATATCATGTGAATGCACTGTTAAAATTAGTTAATTTTCGTTTCATAACATGGAAGGAGGTAACACTGAGATCTAAATCACGAATGTGAAAATTATGAAACACATTTGAAAAATAAAAAAGAAAATGAGTAGTTAAAGGAAGTTATGTGTAAATCATCTTAAATAGATTCCAACGTTTTCGAATTTACGTAGGTGGATCAAATATAAACAAGCTTTCGTTTATAAACTATTTATTTCAAAACATGACACAAAACAGATTTTTTTTCTACTTTTCTACATATTCCCCTTCTCTGTTAATACACTTTTCCTAACGACTTGGCAGTTTGTTAATCCCATTTTCATAAAAGAAGCAAGGCGGGTAGCTAACCAGTTGTGCACAAATGCCTCCACCTCTTCATTGGTCTGAAATCGCTCGCCTGCTAGTGAATCTTTGAGTGGCCCACACATATGAAAATCACAAGGTGACAAATCTGGACTATATGGAGGGTGTTCCAGCACAGTCCAGTGCATTTCATTGATTTTGGCCTGTGTTAAAGCTGCCGTATGAGGTTTAGTGTTGTCATGCAGAAGCAACACGTCTCGGATGGGGTGTGCTCTTCTCTTTTGGCGATGGGCAAGCTTTACCTGGTCGAGTAAGTTACAGTAGTAAGCCGCTTTTATTGTTCTTCGCTCATGCAAAAAATCTACCAGCAAAACTCTTCTCCAGTCCCAGAAAACGGTCGCTAAAACTTTGCCTGCAGACAGACGAGTTTTTGCCTTCACTGGGTTTGGTTCGTCTTCGTGCCGCCACTCCATGCTTGCTTGTTTTGCACCAAGATTTTACAGGTGCCCACGAAAGCGTTTCGTTTCCGAATTGTGCTCGCAATCTGCGTAGAATTTCAGCAGGTCTCATGTTTTCGGGCGTAAGAAATTTAATGATTATTCTTTGCGCAACACTGCTGTGTACCTCCGTCTCACTCATTGCGATTGCTACTGGCCAAATGAGAATCGCGCAACTACCAGCCGCTTACATGCTGCTAAACATTCCTACTCCAATATTATAACAGCAGCGTTCACCTTGATTGACTTTTTCGTTTAAAATTTTAAAAGGCTTGTTTATATTTGATCTACCCACGTATTTCGGTGAATGGGCGAATTCAGCATATAGACTAACAGGCAATGACAGATTTTTTAATTTTTTTTTAATGTATGCATCTTGTAAGTTATGATTATTATAGGTTTTTTACATTCCTAACCAATTATCTCTGAGTACTCACGTACAGAGGCATCATCAAGCGAATTTTAATTTGAACTGAAAATGGATGATTTCGATCGATTAATAAATGCATCCAATTGTGAAAAAAAATTAACCCGCGGAAAAATCTGCATACTCCTCCTTCGTGTATCGAGTTTATTATCTGGCCGGATAAATCCGGTCTCGACCGATTTTTTTGTAGCTGGAAATTGAAGGCATGGAGTTGTATGATCTTTGGTTTCAGCAGGATGGTGCACCATGCGACGCAGCCCATGCCATAATCGATCTTCTGCCCACCAAGTTATGACTCCCCCATTTACTCCTGCACAAGCATACCAAACAGAGACCATAGCAAGAGCCCGGATACATGTGGAATGGGCTATTCGCAGAATGAAGTGCTATAAGATTTTAAATTGTATACCCCATTGTGATGTATTATACCTACTGGTTATGCAACCAGTATGGAGAGCTAATGGCCAGACAGTGCAACGTCCACGTTTAACATAACCTCTTACTTTTATATCTGTATTTGTAGTATAATAAACTATAATAAAGTGCTTCTACTGATTATAATTGTTTATTAACAAACCTACTTAAGATGAACATAAACATTACACCCACAAGCTTCAAACTCATGCCACCACCATTGTAAAAGTGATCGGAGCTCTTACAAATTTGCAGTTCGCATTGATTAAATCTGTAGAGCACTCATACTCTTCAGATAATTGTGTTATCAGCCATCTCGACGATGTCAATTTACTACCTCAGAGCTGCGATTTAACGTCTTTTTTTGAGGGGTGCCGTGAAGGACCAATGTTATGTGATTAATCCATTAACGATTCACGCTCTTATGGCGAATATCGAGCAAGCCATTCGTGAGACAGAGTCAAAAAACGTCACCAAGGTCTTAGAAAATTGGGTGAGCTACTGCGAAGCCAGCCGCGACAGCCACATGAATGAAATCGTGTTCCATAATGTGAATGTTTGCTCTTTCGAATAAACTAATGATATACCAAAAAAAAATTTTTTTTTTATTTTTAAAGAGAAACCACTATAAATATGGACCACCTTTTATATTATTACGCGGTACCTTGCAGCATGCTGCAGTCGTCATAGATAAAAGTACAAGTAAATGAAGAAAATAGAATAGTCCATAAATATCGGGAAATACCATTACTTATCATGAAAAATCTAGGTAGTTCGAGAAGGTTTGAGAAGCTATATAAGTCGATGATCCTGACGTCAGGAGTCAGTTTTAGGAAAGACGTTATACGTTAATATTATTATCAGTTGTATTATTATTGTAAAAGCTGAGTTGAAATAAATTGAGATACCAAAAACTTGCGTAACATTGGCGACAGCGGTGGGATACAAAATAGGAAGTTCATGGTCAATACTAGATCCGCTGGGTACGAAACAAATATGGATACTTCAGTCCCACCAGCATGGTTTTTAAAGAGGAGGAAAACAAGCGTAGGAAGGAAGAAGAGGAGAAAAAGGAAAGGCGAGAAGAGAAGAAGGAAAGACGCAGGAAGGAGGAAGAGGAGGGAAAGGAAAGGCGTCATATGGGGGAAGAGGAGAAAAAGGAAAAGCGTAGAAAGGAAGAAGAGGAGGAAAAGGAAAGATGAGGAGAGAGAGAAGAGAGGGAAGAGAGGCTTAGAAAAGAAGTGGTTGAAATTAGGAATGCTTTGCTACAAATCCAGGAAACCTTCAATCAAGAGGTTGGTCAGCTTAAAATTAGAGTAGATCTGTTAGAGCAACAACAAGAGCATCCAAAAGCTAATTTAGAACAGCAAAAGCATTTAAAAACTAATTTAGAACAACGAGATAATTTAAAACAACAGATGAAAAAGCTAGAGAAGAGTTCAAAAGGCAAATTAGAACTGAACTTTTTGAATTAAAAAAAATAATTCGTAGCCAAGCTTCGATAAACAATAGAGAAACTGAAAACACTACCTCGTCCTCATCTATAACCGAACCAAGCCATATCCAAAACAGTTTCACAAAGCCATACTAGCAAGACCATTAAACCACCCACGTTTGACGGTCAGCCAACATGGGAAACGTATTGACTCCAATTTGAAGCTGAAGCTAGAGCCAATGGCTGAACCGAGAAAGAGATGGCGGCTTCATTGATTGTGTCGCTGCGAGGACAGGCAGCAACCGTTTTACAGTTACTTCCTCAAGAAGAACCCAGTTATTCATTTCTCGTCTAGGCTTTGGAGACAAGATATGGACAGCAGCATTTGAAACGGGTGTTTCAAAGCCAGCTAAAGATTCGTAGTCAGACACATAATGAGAGTCTACAGGAATTTGGGGCCGACATAAGAAGATTGATTAATCTGGCCTATTCACAGGCGCCCAAGGATTTCCAAAAACAAATCGGAATACAGCCATTCATTGATGGACTACAAGATGTGGAAATACAGCAAATCC